AAAAAAATAACTCTTGGATGTATTTTAGGGACACAATAAACAGAAACAAAAGGAAGTATTTTTCTAATATTTAAAACATACATTTTTGAAAATTCATATTCTAAGATATACAGACACTGAATGAAATTATATAATAAGTATGTATGAAACTTCATTCAGTTAGGTAAAGCATGGGTTAGTGAGGCCATTAAGGGTGTTGTTGAGATATATCCACAGGAAAACATCAAGAGTGCTGAATGGGTCCAGGCAGATGGCATTTTGTTAACCCTTCAAGCATGGGTGTGTTAAATTTGAATTGCCCATTTTAGATTCTTTCCACCTTTATATTATTTTGTAAATTTCTAAGCAATTACACACTTATACACTAGGTTTCCCTAATTAGACTAAAATGTAAATTTATTGCCTCTTAAGCTTTTTGCTTTATAGAAATATAAACCAGAAAGTCAAACCCACTTGCCACATCTCTCATTGTAAATGTTTTTCAAAAATTTCGTTAGTTCTCAATGACATTTTCTGTTCGATTATTTATAGCCAATTGAAAAAAAAACAAATTTTTGTTTTAAGAAATCTAGCTCATTTAGGTGTCAGATAAGGACATATTTAGCCTCAGTTTCATTGTTTTCCTTTAAATGCTTGGCTTGATCACCCAAGAAAAGTTTTTAACCTATTTATAGCTTAGCTAGAAAGTCAGCAAAGTTAGAGTAGGATTAGGATATTCTACTTTCTGTGCATAATAATTGATATAATTTTTTTCGAGCATACCTACTAAATTGAAAGTGTGTACCAAATTTCATTCAGTTAGGATAAGCCTGGGTCATTGAGGTCAGCTAAGTTATAGTAGGTTATGGATATTCTTCGTTTTGTGCATATTAATGTTTTGTATTTTAAAATTGTATATTTGAAATAAAAATAAATTTTTATCTGTCAAAGTAAAAACATTACTAAATTTCTTGTTTTTTTATGTATCAAATATCCTATGGCCATCTTGTAGTGGAACTTGTCAATGCCTTGGAAAGTAAGGGTCACAATGCCCTTTCAGTCCTATTAATCTTTTGGTCAATAAACTGTTCAAACAGTGATGATTGAGCAGCTATCATTCCTTCTGAATTTTTAAAGCTTGTGAGATATTTCAGTGCTACATTTATTGGATTTATTTATTAATCCATCTAAAGGATTAAATTTTGCTATTTCGGTAGTGTTGGTATTGTTTGACAGAGATGATAGTTATAACCAGTTCTTTCTGTATTGTGGAAGAGTAGTATTCAGGAGCCATAAGTATACACCTCGTGTACAATGTTACACATTTGTATCTATTTCGCAATTATGATAACAGTGTTCTCCACCATCAGTGGCATTGGTATCCAGAAAAAGCTCACAGTCTTACTGTACATTTTCCAGCATGTGAGAGCAGATAAAAGTGCAGTAGTCTTGCAAAAATTTATGAGGAAGTGTCAATAATGTGATGAAAATCAAGGGAACTGTAGGATTCACAGGTTCATCTCACCCCACAAGGTGACAGAAATTCCACTTGAATGTGCATAAGTGATCATTTCTATAATTTCAGCATTAAACTCTCTATTCCCATCTCCTGCAGTACCATAAACAGGTTCATGGCAGCAGTTTCTAATATGTGACCAAACACCAGGACATTATCAACATAGAGCAGGCGTCATTTCTACTGCAGCCTTTTAATTGTAAACTCCAGTAGTCTCTTGAAAATGGCTGGAACATTGCACACACTAAAGGGCATGATGCAGAACTTATATAAACCACCTTGAGTGCTGAAAATAGTTTTAGGTTTGCTCTTGTCATCAAATTTGACTTACAGTATCTAGAGGCCAAGTCCGAAGTGTGGAGTTACTTGGCACCTTTCAGTGGGTCCACAAATTTATCTGTCAGTGGTGGTCGGAAGAAGTCAGTACAATAGTCTTAAACATATGTTGTATTTTGGAGCTGGCTACATCACACATGCTCTTTCAAAGCCTGTGTGGTGGTGATGATTTAATATTATGATGAATGATTTTGGTTCAACCTAGTCAGTCATTTGGTCCCACAGATATATCAACCAATTTAACCAACAGGTCACTGAACATTCAGTGCTATGTTGAATTAAGAATGTTTATGCAATCCTCAGAAGAGATCTAGGATTCATCAGCAACCAAGTACTGTCTTATGGATGTTATATGACAAAAGCAACATTAGTGTTAATAGTAGTTTCAATTACCTCCACTTTGCCTGCCATTCTGATGGGCATTCCAGACAGAAGCTAAGTTGCTGACTACCCGTAATTACAGAACAGCACTCATATTTCATCTGTCTTTCAACAAATCATTGTTCAAGGTAATGTTTCCTGCTTTCTGGACAGGAAACTATGTATTTCTTGTGGTGGCTTGATTGGTGTATTATGATTTAGTTCATTTTAAACCATGGAACATCACTTGTGTACATAGAGGCACTGATTCCATCCATAATGTACACTTGTGTGGTTCACTGTTCCTGACTGTTCTGGCTGGCTTCATATTATGTTCCCATATAAGTATAGCTCACTTGTTGGATAATTTCCACAGTATGTCCATCTTGGATGCAAAAACCTAGGTCAGCAGTGACTACCTTTGTTTTGTGATTGACATTGCCTAGAAATAGTCAGATACATGCCTTCGCATTCACAACTAGTCTGTATCATTTGCCAGAAGGGCACCTGTGTTAATTAGCCATAGCAGTAGCTTCACTTGGAGTGCTTGGTAGATTAGATCAATCAGTGTCTTGATAGTTCCTATATCAATCTGGAACTCCATCTCTTGTATTTTATGGCCCTGTACCAAGCACCACTCAGCCTTGAAAGAGCTGAGCTGCCTAAAACATTTTTTGATGCAGGCTATCTGCTGCATTTTCCTGAGTTGATGAACAATCCTGACTTTAATTGTTTTTCTTTTCTGGAGAAGAAGTAGCAACAAATACAGCTAGCTTTGCTGTATAGTGAGCCTAGACTGGATACTTTATCTATCCTGCTGCATGGCAAGGTTCACTCTCAAGTGACCCTGCTGCCCACACCCAAAACTCATACTTTGTTCCTCCCTTCTAGAACAACATCCATGCTACAAACATCATAGCACTATGAGGGAAACCCTGCTCATTCACTGGGAACCAATATAGTTGTGTTGTAGTGATGGGATATGTTGGTGGCTGATTTACCCCTATCAAAGCATAAGTTTGATGTGGGGTACTCACTTTAGAAGGATGATCTGTTCAAGGTACACCCACTGCAGCTTGTATCTGTGACCTTTTTCCTATTTTCAAATCTCGCAACATCATTCTCACAGAAATTGCCTGTGTTAGAGTAAGAATGTTTCTCACACTTGGTTGGTGCCTCATTATCTCACTAGATAGTCTCTCAGTGAACCTTTCAACTAGAATGTCTTTATGATCTTCTTAAACAATTACAGGGCATGCTTTCTTATGCACCTGGTACAAGTCATTGATCTTGTCACCAGAGTTGTCAGAGAAACCTTTTTTTTTAAGCCTTTAACTTGGGCAAATGGACACCTCAGTTCTTCACTGGGTTGAAATATCATTTCAGATTTTCTTGAACTGTATTTTCAGTCCTGTAGCTGTGCCTCAATTGTGTTCAGCAGTATCAAGAACCAGTTATCCAAGATAATGGTCAGGAATTGAATTGCCAATTCCCAAGTCCAGCTATTCCAGTCAGTGACCTGCCTGAACTGTATCAAGAAATTGTCAAAGTTCTCTCTTGCTGTACCTTTAAGCTTTGAGGTGTGATCAGATTTTCCTCCATCATAGTTGCTTATATGTTTTGACAGCAGCTTGTCACCCATGGACTCAGCCAACATCAGGCTGAGATATCCTGAATGTTGGTATGGTGTAGTGAAGTGGGCTGGTGCAGGAGCCATTACATTTAGATGACTCCAACTTGTGAGGTGCAGAATGACAAGGTAATGAAGGTGGTAGATGATCCATTGATGCTGCATTACCCAATGCTTTTCCATGACCAATAGTCGCTATTGCAGTAAACTTCTCATCAATAAAAGGCTGACCACTACCTTTCATATTACCACAAATGGCACCTCCAGTTACAGTTGTTCAATTTGTTCCATTCAGCTTCAACTTTGCCAGATTGCACACCACCCTAGTTATCCTTGGGCATCCAATCCTCCTGTGTACCGAAGTTAAACCTTGGTGAAAGAACCTAATTGGCTATTCTGGATGCGTCTGATTGTGTTAGTTCTCATCCTGGGTCTACAGTTGCAGAGAGAGAGATGCTATGCACATCTGTACCAAGTTCAGAATAGCATAGGTAAATATAGTCATCCAAAAAAAACAGATTTTCTATAAAAACAAATTCTGTAGTCATGGCATCAAATTTTTCTCCTTCCTTCTTAATATGTAATATTCTCATATTCACTGGTTTTCACTTAAAAGTATTCAGGTAGGAACCACAGAAAAACTGGAGTCTTGCCAGTAAATGTATTGCAGAGCAGAAATCTTGCTTTGACTAAAACTGTCATAAAAGAAGAGAGTGAACACTATTTTGCACAAAGTAAAAGATGAGTGTAAGTGTGGTGTCTTTATTGGAGAAAGTTGTGGTGGTAAGTTTAAGTTAAAGCTATGCAAAAGTTCAGAGTTATCAAAACATATTCTCTAATCAAAAGTGTCTTTAGTTTCAAAAGTAAAGCTCTTGAAGCTTTGTTCAAGTTCTAGATTGAGGAAACATGGCATTAATTACTAACAACAACAATGCCATTCTTCTCAAGAATAGGCTTCTATGTTATTTTTTCTTCACTGAAATTAACAAATCAATAAATAATCAGTTAATCCACTGAATAAGGATGGCTAATTAATTGTGACAATGTATCACATGTTATCCAAACATCTAGAGTATTTCAGGTTATTAGTGGTGAGAAATATACATAAAAACTAAACAATAGTGACTTCTTTAATCATTCTAAAAAATATTTATATAGTTGTTATTTCCGGCTTTTCAGGAACAACGACAAGCCACTAAGGAAAATGTTCAGCGTAAGCAAGCAAGGACCTTTGGGGAACGAGAAGAATCTGATGATGAGGCCTCTGAGTCTGAGTCAGAAGAAGAAGATGACAATGATGTTATTTACAATCCAAAAAATCTTCCCTTAGGGTGGGATGGAAAGGTACAGAAATAATTTTTTAACAACATAACTATTACTTTAGATAAATAGGTAAAAAAAGAAGAAATTGATTACTTGAATGTTCTATGAATTGAAGGGATGATCTCATTATAATTACTTTTATAACCAGCAATTTTAACAAGACAAAAACTATGATTAACTCTTTCGCATAAGGTAGGTCAAAGTGCACATGTCACAATCTATTACAGTTACGTTTAAAATTTAATCAAACAAAATGTAGTTAATAAATCAAGTTTTAATATAACATAAATTTTAAGTTCTTTTTAAAGGAAATATTTTTAAAAATCCTCAATCTCTCCCACCTTTCACATCCTCTCTTTCACAAATTCCCAATAGTTCTCTGACATTTTATACTATTAAATGATGTATTATATTTTCTTGTTACTTGTACAGGGCATTGTTTATTTCATGGCTCACTTTCAAATATTTTCTTGCAGGAATCACATCAAGGAGCTCACTTTTAAAGGCTCTTATAGTATAGTTAGAAAGCCAGAAAAATTATGATACTTATCAGTACGGTGTTTGCTTTTTGTGTGTTATTATTCCAAGTTCTTAGGTGCATTATATTGAATTAAATAAAAACTATTTAGTGTAGTTGCACCATTATTATAAAAAGTAGGCTTAAGTTTCATTGACAGTTAACAGCCAAAAAAAAAGGTAAGTAAAAAGCCAAGGTAAGTATTATGTTTCTTGTTTTTCATGTGTATTCTATATTTAATGTAAAATTAGAAACTTGTTAGGTAAGGTAATGAGAAAAAATAAATAAAAAATCATCACAAGGTGTGCTTGTGAGTAGTTCATGAGTTTTGTAAGTTAATACAGTAATGTGAGCTGCAACGCCCCCCCCCCTCTTCCAGTGACACAGTGATATGTTTGTGGACTTACAATGCTAGAAACTGTGGTGGGCAGAGTACAGAAAGCCTATTGTGTAACTCTGTGCTTAACTATAAATAAACAGTGTGAGCTGCACATTTGCTGGGTGATTTACAACTTGTGTTGGGGGATTATTAGTTAGGCATGGTTCAAAAATCAGTATGATTAAGTTTAAATAGGTGTACACTATTATGGGCTTTAAGCTGTTTAGGATAAACAGTTGTGGTTTCATATTACAATTTTCAGTTATCCTATAAAGAAAAAGAGTAATTTAGATTTATTTCCTAATTTTATATGGTGGTTATGAGGTCAAACAAATTGACTGACCCTGTATAGAGTCATGATAGAGAAAATAACAGATAAATGCTTAAAATTTATTGAAAAAACATTTGATATATTTATAAGGTTTTAGAGATTATGCAAATGAAATTTGATAATTTCCAAATGAAGAAAAGTATTTTTAAATTGAAATCACTTTGCCCTCAAGACAGTCAACACTTTAACTTCATATATTCACAGACAAGGTTTTAGCAAAAATACTTAATAAAAAATTCTAGTTCTTTGTCTACAAAAGACTTGTAATGTTTACTAAGCTTGAAAAATTTCCTGAAGATACATAAAGCATGTTAAAAGTTATAGTAGGGGAATTCTGATGGTCATTTTGAGGTCACATGGTCGGTGTACACCACTGAGGTAGTAACAAAAGGCTAATTTAAACTTTAGTTCCTACTGTCTACTATACACCCTCAGTTGATTATATGATTTTGAATAAATAGTTGAATTAACATTTGAAGAAAGTTACTCAGAACAATCATGGGACTGGTTGGCTTAATCACAATTTTGTTTTCTGTTTTTGTTTTGCCAGTTTTGCCAAAATAAAATATGATTAACTAAATAAAATAGACAGTAGCTGGATAAGATACCTTCCTGGGCCTGGCCATCTATACTATAAGTAATGACTTAAAAATTTTGAAAGCAGGCATCTTGTTTACCACTACCATAGTTTCTTTCTAAGTATGATTATAAATAATTATAACTATTTAATGGTAATTAAAAGATTTGAAATGTTTGTTATTAACTCTTTTTATTTTTGTATCAATCACATTACTAGAAATAAAATTGTGCAATTTTCAGATGAAAAAAAGAATTTTTTAATCCTAACATGAAAATCACATTGTACTTGGAGCACTCATCACTCTGACTTCCTATATTTACAGACAAATATTTAGTAAAAATACTTCATTAAAAATTCAAATTTTTTATCAACAGTATACACTTTACTGACCTATGAACCGTGTTTAACTCATAATTTCACACTACAAATTGTAAATCACTCAACAAATGTGCAGCTCGCATTGCTGTATGAAATGTCTACTAAAAGCTGTGACCAAATGGGTATATGTATGTGCTGTGTATGTGAACTTTACAACTGAGATTGCTGTTAAAATCATAAATAATATTCAACGTTAAACTGGTACACAATTAAAAAAAATT